TGGCATAATCTCAGCTCACTGCAGCCTCCACCTCCTGGGTTCAAGTGATTCTCCTGCCTCAGTCTCCCAAGTAGCTGGGACTACAGGCGAGTGCCACCACGCCCAGCTAATTTTTGTATTTTTAGTAGAGATGAGGTTTCACCATGTTGGCTAGGTTGGTCTTGAACTCCTGACCTCGGATGATCTACCCGCCTCAGCATCCCAAAGTGCTGGGATTACAGGCGTGTGCCACTGTGCCCGGCCCCCAATGTCCATTTTCTAATAGCAGTGCTGTACTATCACTATGCAAGATGTTAACACTACAGAAGGCTAGGTGCATAGAACCTCCCTATGGTTTTGCTTGTTTGTTTGAGACAGAGTCTTGCACTGTTGCCCAGGCTGGAGTGCAGTGGCATGATCTAGGCTCACTACAAGCTCTGCCTCCCAGGTTCACGCCATTCTCCTGCCTCAGCCTCCCGAGTAGCTGATGAGCCACCGCACCCAGCCTTCTTTTCTAATATAGGTATTTATAGCTATGAATTTCTCTCTGAGCACTGCTTTTGTTGGAGCCCGCAAGTTTTGGTTTATCTTCATTTTCATTCATTGCAAAAAATATTTTCTCATTTCCCTTGTCATTTCTTCTTTGACTTGTTGGTTATTTAGGAGTGTGTTGCTTTATTTTTGCATATTTGTGAATGCATTTACTTTTCAATTTTAGAATCAACCCATAGTGCTATTATAGAATACTTATCTGTAATTACAAAATAGAATGTGAATGTTCTCAGCCAGACAATATGAAAGAAAAGGTACGGCTGATAGAGGTGGGGAAGTAGCCATGGAGAGAGAAAAGATGGAAGGGCAAATGTCCTCATTTTTACAAAGTAGGAAGTTAAGGGATACAGTCTGCGGTTGATGGAGCAGGAAATGAAGGTGTACTGTATTGTCATTTTTGTCATAAATTGGGCAAAACACGTATGTATGGATCTATAATAGTTTTTAAAACTGTATTAACATATTAACTTGAATTGGTGATTAACAAATTGATCTTCATGGAGTCTCTGAATGAGATTATCTTTTTTATGACTTTCTAAAGAGAAATCATCCTGGTAATTTTATTAGATAGTTTCTCGTTTCATTGCACACCGGATTCTTGTTTTACTAATATTTCTGTTTTCTTTATATATATATTTTTTGCCCTCAAGATCACTGTGGTAAGGAATATTATTTTGTTGATTTAACATTTCTTATTTTTCCCAGGCTGAGGCAGCTAAATTAGTTCCAATGGGTTTCACCACTGCAACTGAATTCCACCAAAGGCGGTCAGAGATCATACAGATTACTACTGGCTCCAAAGAGCTTGACAAACTACTTCAAGGTGTAGTAATCCCTTATTCTGTGTTGTGAACTCTAGTTAGGAAAGCTTCCAGGTTATGGAACAAAACTGAAATGTTTGGGTAGCATTTACTTGTTAGATAATGATAAAGAGATAAAAGAAGGCCAGGTGCAGTGGCTCATGCCTGTAATCTCAGCACTTTAGGAGGCCAAGGTGGGCAGATCACCTGAGGTTAGGAATTTGAGACCAGCCCAGCCGAGATGGAGAAACCTATTAAAAGTACAAAATTAGCTGGGCGTGGTGGCACATGCCTGTGATCCCAGCTACTCGGGAGGCTGAGGCAGGAGAATTGCTTGAACCCGGAAGATGGAGGTTGCTGTGAGCCAAGATTGCGCCACTGCACTGTAGCCTGGGTGACGAGCAAAACTCTGTCTCAAAAAAAAGAGATAAAGAAAGTATCTACATTGAAGAGGTAAGACTGCTGCAAGGTAGGCCCTTATTTATAAAATACTAAACTTACCTGCAAATTAAAGAATTTAGTCTCCATTTAATATTGCATTGAGAGAGTAAGCTCCTTTTGCTTAAGGAAGTAACTATAATTATAACCTCCTCTACCACAAGGTTGAAAGCCTGATGACTGGTTAAAACATCCATGTTTGAATACTACTCATTGTGTACACACTAATCTTCAGGACTTCAGGGAAAACTATAAAGCTTTCGACCTTATTATTTATTTTTAGAGACGGGGTCTCACTCTGTCACCCGTAATGCTGCTCTTGCACAAATCTACATTTGCGCCCATCTTTTTATCTCAGGATGCTGCATGGAGAAAGTGTCCCTTTTCTTCTCAAAGGCCTCCATTCTATCAACTAGTTTGTTACATCTCTGCCACTTCTCAACGCACTCTCACTCCTTCCATTTTCCTCTTATACTCTCTAGGAATATCCTATTATGTATACAATGATGCTAGTGCTCTCCTCATTGAGGAGGAGAACTTTCCCTGGACCCTTCAGTTTCTTTTCCTTTACTTATGCCTCCCCACCATTGTGGGGTAGATGGAAACAGACCACAGTGGGTTAAATCATTTTCCCAGTACATTGCTATTGTAAGTAGCAGATACTTGACTCAACCAGACTTCAGACAGATGATGTTCTTTTTTTTTTTTTTATTTTTGAAGTGGAGGAGAGTTCCGCTCTCTTGCCGGAGGGCTGTAGATGCAGTGGCCCGGATTCTCAGCTCCACTGCAAGCTCCGCCCTCCGGCGTTCACGGCCCATTCTCCTGCTCAGGCCTCACCGAGTAGCTGGGCGGACTACCAGGCGCCGCACACCTCGCCGCCGGCTAGTGTTGGATTTTTAGTAGAGACGGACGTTTCACCAGATGTTAGCCAGTGATCGTCGCGGAGTCTCCTGACTCACTGATCGCCCCGTTCTGGCCTCCCAAGCGCTGGGCATGAAGGCTTGAGCCACGCCGTGTCCGAGGCGATGATGTTCTTAAAACTTCATAAGGAGAGGGAGCCGCAGTCGCGGGTGGGAGTTCATGCGTGAATCCCAGTACATTTGGGAAGCCAACGAGCTGGGGAGGAGGTCGCGTGCGGTGAGGGCCAGGGAATTAGGAGACCAGCGCGGCAACATCGGCAGACCCGCAGGCTGGGCACGTAGTGAGACCCTGTTTACTGAGACGCGTGTTTCTAAAGCAGCAGCAGAAACAAAAAAAAATTACCAAATATTAACCCTAGGAATCATGATGGATGTGTACCTGTGGATTCCTAGCTAACTCAGGAAGGCTGGGCAGGCGAGAGATTCTCTTGAGCCGTAAGGAGGTCAGGCCTCCAGGCACTGGGGGGATCATTGCCACTGCATGTGCTTCTGCTGTATTTGCTAGGTGGCCTAAGGCAGGCAGCTGCTTAGCTCAAGTAAACCGCAATACAATGCATTGAATGAGGTGGAGATTAATTAGGATGTCCATACAAACATGCCTGACTATTATAAAATTAATTTGTCATAGAGGAATATGGGGTTTAGCCGTTAAGAAGTGAAAGCGGCGTCGTGGGGTACTGTCACCCTATAGTGGATGATGGAATACTTTATAGAAGAAAAAGATATATGGGAGCCCAGACTTCTGAAGAATGCCCTAGAATTTAGGGGCGGAGGAAGAGGAAATAAAAGCATTTTTAACTGTACAGAATGGGGGATGGGACAGGAGGATGGAAGGCAATAGTTAGAAAGAAAAGACAATTTAAATAAGCAGGCATTTACCTGGTTCAGAGTTGATAGAAAAGTAGGAGAGTGATCCTGTAAAAACTATACCAATTTCAAACACTGCATGGTAGGTCACACGCCTGTAATCCCGCAGCCACTTGGAGTCCAAGGGTAGGTGGATCGCTGACTCAGGCAGTTGAGACCAGCGCTGAGCAACATGGCAAATCCTTCATCTCTACAAAATAACATAAATAGTCCAGGACGGGTTGGGTTGGCCTTTTGCCTTTGATTAACCTGCTGAACCTTGGGGGAGGGGTGGGAGGCGGGAGAGTCTGCTTGAGCTCGCGGAGGGATGGGAGGCCAACGGTTTGCCGGTGAGTCAACGATGTAGCTCACACTACTCTCCAGGTGCTGGGCAAACAGACGGCAAGATTTCGTTGTCTCTGTCTC